ATTTTCAGCTTTTTGAGGAAATTCCACACTGCTCTCCACAGTGGCTGCACCAGCTTGCATTCCCACCAAGAGTGTACTAGGGTTCCCTTTTCTCCACAGCCTCGCCAGCACCTGTTGTTTGTTGATCTGTTTATGATGGCCATTCTGACCGGTGTGAGGTGGTATCTCATTGTGGTTTTGATCTGCATTTCTCTGATGGTTAGTGATGCCGAGCATCCTTTCGAATGTCTCTGGGTCCTATGTACCTCTTCCTTGGAAAAGCATCTGCCCAGGTCCTTTGCCCGTTTTTTGATTGGATCATTTGTCTTCTTGGAGTGGAGTCAAGTGAGTTCTTTGTATATCTTGGAGATCAAACTTCTGATGTATCATTAGCAAATATATTTTCCCATACCATTGGCTCCCTTTTCATTTTGCTGATGTTTTCTTTAGCTGTGCAGAAGCTTCTTATTTTGATGAGGTCCCACTTGTTTATTCTTTCCTTTATGTCCCTTGCTTTAGGAGACATATCGGAGAAAAAATTGCTGCGTGGGATATCTGAGAGTTTCCTGCCAATGTTCTCCTCTAGGACTTTGATGGTGTTGCGACTTATATTTAAGTCTTTTATCCATCTTGAGTTTATTTTTGTGTATAGTGTCAGCTGATGATCCAATTTCAATTTTTTGCATGTAGCCGTCCAGCTCTCCCGAAACCATTTATTGAAGAGGCTATTATTACTCCATTTTATGCTTCTGCCCACCTTGTCAAATATTAGATGCCCATAGAGACCTGGCCTTTTTTCTGGGCTTTCTATTCTGCTCCACTGGTCTATGGGTCCGTTCTTGTGCCAGTACCAGATTGTTTTGAGTATAGTGGCTTTGTAATATAGTTTGATGTCCAGTATTGTGATCCCTCCTACTTTGTTTTTCTTTCTCAAAATTGCTGCAGCTATTCGGGGTCATTTATGGTTCCATATAAATTTTTGAAATGTCTGTTCTATTTCTGTGAAATATGTCATTGATATCTTAATAGGGATTGCATTGAATCTATAAATTGCTTTGGGTAGTATGAACATTTTGATGATATTAATTCTTCCAATCCATGAGTACGGTATATGCTTCCATTTAGTTGTATCTTCCTTAATTTCTTTCTTCAATGTTGTATAGTGTTATGCGTACAGGTCTTTTACCTCCTTGGTTAAATTTATTCCAAGGTACTTTATTTTTCTTGTTGCTATATTGAATGGTCTATGGCCATACCACTCTGAACACGCCCTATCTCGTCCTATACTATTCTTAACCACCCCGTCTATTTTGTGCCTACCAATTATACTTCTTATTCCCTGTACCTTTCCCCCTCATTCTCCTCCTCCCCCCCCACTGATAATCCTCCATGTGATCTTCATTTCTGTGATTCTTACTGATTATTTTAGATAATATCTATCCTGAAAGGATAATATCAGAATTATCCTGATATTAAGCCAGACAGAAATCTCACCAAAAAAAATAAAATAAAACTACACACCAATATCCCTTATGAATATAGATGTAAAACTATTCTACAAAATACTAGCAAACTGAATTCAGTAACATAAAAAAAATTATACACCATAATCAAATAGGACGTATCCCAGAAAGCAAAGTTGGTTTAACATCTGAAAACAGATTAATGTAATACACTTGATTCAATGAGGGAAGAATAGTCTTTTCAACAGACAATGTTGAGACAACTGAATAACTATATGCAAAAAATTGAAGTTGGATTCATACCTCAAGTAATATACAAAAGCAGGCTCAAAGACCTAGTAAGTGCTAAAACTATAAAACTATGAGAATAAAATATAAAAATAAATCCTTGTGACATTGGTTTAGGTAATAGTTTCTTAGGTATAAGACCAAAAGTACAAACAACGAAAGAAAACTTAGATAAATTTTACTAAATCAAAAACTACCATCAAGGAAATGAAAAGACAAACAACAGAATGGGAGAGAACATTAGTAAATCATAATCTAATAAGGGACACATACCTAAATACATGAGAGATTTTACAACTCTAAAATTTCAAATAACCCACGATAATAAAAATTTGGCAAAGAATTTCAACAGACATTTCTCCAAAGATATACAAATGGCCAATAAAAATATGGAAGGATGGTCAACATCATTAGTCATTAAGAAAATGTAAATCAAAAACACAATATCACTTCACACCCACCAGGATGGCTATGACTGAAAAGACAGATGATAACTAGTGTTGGAAAGTATGAAAATTAGACTACATTATTGGAAATGTGAAATTGTTTAGCCACCTTTGAAAAGTTTAGCAGTTCTTTGAGAAGTTAAATATAGAGTTACCATATGACCTAGCAATTCTACTCCTTGATATATGAGATCTGTCTGGAAAAAGCCAAGCCAGTGTTAACATAATGAGAATGGTTTGTGTGACATTGATATAACCGGGCAGCCAAGGACAGTGGACTGGAATGAATATGTGTGAACAATGACAACTTCACTGTACTAGTCAGTGGGGGCAGTAGATGCTGTTGAGTGAGCATGTGTACTGTGTGGCCATCACATTCAAAATGACTGAGCAGAACGATGAATCTGCATCAGATTTTGTGTTAAGCTTGAACATTCCTCTGTGGAAACTATTCGGATAGTGCAGAAGGCCACAGCTATGAGCAACTGGTGACCAGCAGCTTCATCATGACAATGCGCCCACTCATGCATCACGTTTCATACAGAGTTTTTTTGTGAAACGTCAAATCACGCAGGTGGTTCAGCCCCCCTACAGCACAGATTTGGTGCCCTGCGACTTCAGGCATTTCCAAAAACTGAAACCACCTTTGAAAGAGAGGAAATTTTGGGTCATCAACAAGATTCAGGACAATATCATGGGGCAACTGATGGCAATTGGGAGAACTGTGTGCGGTCCCAAGGTGCCTCCTTTGAAGGGGACTGAGGCTTCATTGTCCTATCTACAATGTTTCTTGTATCTTCCTCAATAACTGTCCCTATTTTTCATGTTACATGGCTGGATACATTCTGTACAGACCTTGTATGCCCAAGAGAAATGAAGCCTATATCCATAAAGAAACTTATGCATAAATATTTATAGTAGCATTATTCATAATAGCCAAAAGGTAAAACAAACAAACAGACAAATGTTTAACAACTGATGACTGGATAAGTAAAAGTGTTATATCCATAAAGTAGAATATTATTCAGCAATAAAAATGAATTAAGTACTGATTCATTCTATAACATGGATGAATGGAAAACCGTATGCTTCATGAAAGAATCCACCTACAAAAGATCACATAGTGCATTATTATTCCATTCATACAAAATATCCAGGTTAGGCAAATCCACAAAGACGGAGAGCCTAAGGCTTAGGAGGGTTGTCTTGATGAAGTTGCGGGGGAGGAATGGAGAGTACCTGCTAATAAGTTTCTTTTAGGAGCTGATAAAAATGGTCTATAATTACATTGTTGTGGTGGTTGTATAACTCTGTCAATATGCTAAAAACCACTGAACTGGGTATTTTAAATTGGTGAATATTATTGTATGTGAATCATATCTCAAAAAAGATGATTAAAAATAACCTGACTAACTGGAAAAAAGTGGACAATACTAATTTTGGAGAAAGAGTGGGAGCTGAGGAAGGGGATTTGGCAACTATGATGAGCAAATGCAGTATGTCATGACATCAACGACCTAAGAAACTGTCACCAGATTGTGATGACACAGATGTTTAATTGTATCCTTAAACTTGCCATGTCTGCCACCAACAGTTTTCACTCTCACACATCCTTACAGTCTTTGCTATCTCAACTGTTGCTGAGTGTTTTCTGTTTACTGCCCTTTCCATTATATGCTTCTGACATTCCAACTGCTTTATTTAGTGCTGAATATCTCAGCCTCATCCCCATTGATATTTTGAGCCAGAAAACTCTTCATTGTGGGAGATTTCCTGTGAATTGCAGGATGTATAGCAGCATCCCTGGCCTCTACCCACTAGATGACAGTAGCACTCCCTCACAGAGCAGTGACAATCAAAAATGTCTCCAGACAATGTTAAAAGGCCCCTGTGGGTCAAAATTGCCCCGGGTTGTATGTATGTGGGGTTGGGGCACTGGTCTAAATTGTACTTACGTAATCTGAAAAAGTTTATGCTAAAAATAAATGAGCTTCCCGGGGCAAGGCGGGGGGTGGAGGTAGATGCGGAACTGACCATCTAATTCTCTACTGGGTCTTTCTCTTGGCATTAGAGAAGGTTGAATGTTTCTAAAAAATTTTCAAAGAAGGTCAGCTAGTTTCTATTTTAGATGGATAAAAGTCCATGAATACATTCAAGACCGACTAGTTGGGTCACTGATGACTGGGGCTCTATCTCTAATCCAGGCATTTACATTGTCTAATGAGGCTGAGCCAGTATGCTAATGAGTAAAAGTAAAACTCCACCCTGGATCATTCCTTGCATTAAAGGAATCAATTCAATGTGCAAAGTTCTGTTCCTTATCTCACTAATTCTAAGAAATTCTGCACATTGAAGCCACTTGGAAAAAGTCATAGTTTTTCTGTCCTATTAACATTTATTTCAATTTTCTACAGAATAATATTAATGTTATAATAGATAAAAATTATTAAGTGATAATTTGTAGTAACATATATCTCAATTTTCTACAGAATAATATTAATGTTATAATAGATAAAAATTATCAAGTGATAAGACTGATAAGTGACACATACCAATGTCTGTATATTCTTCACTTAAAAAGTGATCCTACACAATCAGCTTTCTTTAAAAAAAAGTTACAGAAGGAAGGGAGAGTAGGAACAAGGACGAAAAAAAGAATGTAACAGTAGAGAGCTCATTAAACCAATGGAATAGGAAATGGTTACATTTTCTTTCTTTTTACCTAAGTTATAATATTAATCCTGCATACCATAATAAATTGGGTCATATGACATTAGTTTTATAACGTACACAGCAAATCGACTTGAAAAAAAACAAAGGTTACCTTCTGGAGGAGTCGCAATGCTGCTTCCAAGGCCCAAAATAGCCATCTTGTGCATCCTTGGCTCCAGCATCACAGCAGATTCCTCTCCCCGTTCCCAGTGGGGTATTTTGACTGGCTCCAGGTGGACATTCTCCAGCCCATCTTCCTTTAGGTTTTGGTACATGATTTGAATGGCTTTTTCTAGATTCTTGGAGCCACTTAATCTGGGTCCAACAGTATCGACCAGAAGTGCCAATCGCTCATAAGATCTGTTCTGAGCTTTCCCATAAACAGCAAGGTTGATGATTGCTTTAGCAACATCTCCATAGCGGGCTATTTCTTCTTTTATTTCTTCAAAAGTCCTCTGCGAGGTGTCATTCTTGTATATAGCTTTGCCAGAATTCAGAAATAAAAGGTGAACACCAACAAATGTGAAGAGAAGAAACTTCATTTTTTCCAGGTTGTTTTCTTCCTAAAACAATCTGTATAAAATAAGAAACATGTTTTAGGAAAAGATTCTCAAGCTATCTGCGCATAACCCAAAGACTGCTTTTATAACAAAACTGCCCATGCCAACTTCCACCATCAAATTCAGGTACCATAACTTCTAGGAATGAAGAAGTAAAGAAGTAATTATTGGCCTTATTAATAAGGCAGCATTTATTAAAATCAAACAATCACATGTTACCTAGTAACTTTGTTTAAAATATGCTAAAACATTAAAATAAAAAGACTACTAGGCCAGCACACATTTATGATAAAAACTCTCAGCAAAGTGGAAATAGAGGGAACATATATTAACATAATAAAGGCTATATATGAGAAAACCACAGTAACATCAAACTCAATGGAGGAAAAATTAAAAGTATTTCCCTTAAGATCAGGGACAGGAGAGGGATGTCCACGTTCACCCCTCTTATTCATAGTACTGGAAGTCCTAGCCACAGCAATCAGACAAGAAGAAGAAATAAAAGTCATCCAAATTGGAAAGAAAAAAGTGATACTGTATATAGAGAATCCTAATGATTCCACCAAAAAACTATTAGAACTGATAATGAATTCAGTGAAGTAGAAGAATAGAAAATTAATACTCAGAAATTGGTTGCATTTTTATAGACCAATAATGAGCTATCAGAAAGGGAAGCTGAGAAAACAATCCTATTTACAATTGCATCCCCCCTGCAAAAAAAACCTAGGAATAAATTTAAATAAAGAGGTTAAAGACCTGTAGAGAAATTGAGTAAGAGAGTAATAAATGGATGCATATACTGTGCTCTTGGATAGGAAGAATTAACATTGTTAAAATGTCCATACTACTCAAAGCTGCTTTCCTTTTTGTTATAACTGTTTACATGCATGGGTGCTTGGTTTCTACAGTGACCGTAATAATGCTTGTTTTTAAAAGCTAAAGTTTATTAAGCAATCAAAATATTTCACCAGATTGCAATTTATTCTTGAAAGTACATTTTCCAATGTACTGTTGGTGCAAAAAAAAAAAAAAAGGTTATTAAGCCATCTATTAATTAAGACTAACCACATGTATCTACTTCTCAGTAAAAATTCTCTAAGCAAACATTCATTAACGATTTCACAGTACATTTCTAGTGATGGATGAGAATCATATAAATGACAGCATTGCAGAGATACAAGAGAGCTTAGGGATCCCAGCCCATACCCATGTTTTTTAGAGAGTTAATCAAGGCTTTTGTTGTGATTCCCAGGCAGCAGATAAACCAGCAGCTACAATCAACCAGGTAACTGGAGTAACTAGCACAGACTTCCCAAAGGATTAAGAATTGTTTCCTTAGAATAAACTGTATGCATTTACACATAATAGAAACCCAATGAAGAATACCCAAATGCAGCCTGAGAAGCAAATAACTATAATAAAATATATGTACTCAAGCAGACTCAAACATGGAGTTACATGAGAACACAGAGAAGAATAAAGGGAATCTTGAAAATCAATAGAGAAAACATATCTCACAACAGCCTCCAGGAATGGCTGAGAGAAGGAATGGTACACCCCTCTGCCGGATCATAGAAATATCATCTTTAGTCACATTCTGGTTTAAAGGTATGTTCAGAAAATAACAATGCTTATCATTGTTACATCATTTTGCATGTATGTTCATTGAATTATTGGATGATCTGACATTTTAATAAGAATAATGCAGCCCTGGTTGGTATGGTTCAATGGATTGAGTGCCGGCCCATGAAGCAAAGGGTTGCTGGTTTGACTCCCCCGGTCAGGGCACATGCCTGGGTTGAGGGCCAGGTCCCCAGCAGGAGGCACACAAGAAGCAACCATACATTGATGTTTCTTTCCCTCTCTTTCTCCTTCCCTTCCTCTCTAAAAATAAATAAAATCTTTTTTTTTAAGAATACTTCATACCTCCTAACATAATCAGTTAAATTAATTTTGACACAAAAAACGATATAATTACTTTAAAACAAAAACGGCTATGTCATTCTGAATAACTTAACTACACTGTATCTTCAAATCCCACAAATGCAGTAACTGCTTATTTTTAAAAAGTAGGTATATAAGTAGTATATAGAATTATATATATATATATATCTCCTCAATGGAGCACTACAAGAATCTGTTATTTATTTTTATTGATTAATTTTTTTTTGAGAGAGAAAGAAACATCAATTTTTTGTTCCACTTATCTATGCACACACTGGTTGGTTCTTGTATGTACCCTGACCAGGGATGGAACCCACAACTTTGGGGTATCAGGATGATGATCTATCCAACTGAGCTACCCAGTAAGGGCACAAAAATTTTTTTGTTAATTTTTTTTTTTTTTAGAAATGTACATTATCACAACTAAAATATGTTTCCATTAATAAAGAGTAGAAAATAATAATAATTACTAACTACATATATTTGGAAAGTTAACAAAAATGTAACAAAATATTTCTATACCACATTCCACTTTACAAAACACTGTCAAATATAATATGTAATTTAAAAATGCAGGGATTATAACCAATAACTAGAACAATTTAAAGAAATTCTCTCCTAATTCATAAATTTAGGGTCACCATACATGAAAAAAATATTCATTCTAGACCTAGAGTCAATCCAAATGAGAAAGATGAGCAAAGGCACCAGGTTATTTGCCTGAAAGGACAAAAAATCTAGCCCTCCTCCATGTGAAAAAGACTGAGGCCAAAAGTAGAAATATTTTAGGGTTTGGATAAGATGAAAGTAGATTTACTACCAAACCCTTTCATATTAGTACCAGGGGTAGTCCTAGTAGTTCAGAGCTAATTTTAGGGAAATGAAAATGCACAATTTTAACAGTGAGTATAAATATATAAAAAGTGAACCTAAGAAAGGAGGAGACTGGATGCCATCATGAATGATACAGTCATTGGAAGCTGAAGCCTTTAATTCCACCACAAAGCACTGACACCAGATTGACCCAGTAAAGTTCGCTGTGGGATCACCACGGGGGTTATGCATCTGAAAGGCTGTTAGTCTGCCCTAGCTCAGAAATTCAAATGTCCATTTAAAAGTCAAATAAAATTGAGCACTACTTTTCTGTAGTCTGCAAAGGGAGCCAATAATTCTATGGTGATCAATAAAAACAAATATTTTTATTCATCTCAAACATTTCTTTTTTATTTATTGTAAAAGATGTTTTGTTCTCTGTCATACTCCATGTCTCCATTCATTTAACAAAAAGTTACTGAGCACCTACTAAGCACTGAAGACACAAATGTATAGAATAATATCAACACCTTCAAAGGGCTACCAAGTCTAATGGGGACACAGATAATGGGAAAATCCCTATAACGGAGGTGGTTACCAGGTTCTGTGAGAACAGATGGGAGGAAAGGATTAGGAGGACACAGGCTTGAGGTGATATGTGAAGGGTAAACAGGAGTTTACTTCTGGGCATGTGACAAAGCCGGGAGTGGCACTGAAGAAAAAGTAACCAACAGAGAGGGCGACCCATACAAAGACACGGAGGCTTTACAAAACACAGCCTCCAGAGGAAATGGCAAGTAGCGCGATGGTAAGTGGGCGGAACGTGTGGAAGACACAGTAATGTGAAGACGGGAGCAAAACGCCCCGGTGCCGTGTCAGACACAGGGAACAGCTCGCAGCCCTCAGGCAGCCACGAAAGGGAGGAAGGAAAATTCTCTGTGAGTGTCACTACCCGCGTCACCCTGACATGGAGAATTCACCCAGACTCCACATCAGGACAACGAGAGCATAGGAAGTACCTCAAAAGCCCCCAGCAAGCCACTATTTATTACACACCTGGTTATTCCGTGGAATTTTCACAGAGGGGCAAATAACCCATGCTTACCAAAGATGCATTAGTCAGACATTTGTTTACAGACACTCAAGATCTTCTGTTTAAAATCCCTAAAATACTAGGAAACAAGTTGACAAAAAAAAAAAAAAAAAAAAATCTAACGCACTATCAAGCAATTTTAGGACATTTGAAATGCTTTTCCAAAATATTCTTTGTTCATATACACAAAATGTTGAAGTCATTGCTCCTTTACTTGAATTCAAACTATGGAAACAAACATTGTACTCTTCAAAATATTGTATTTTGAAAACCCATGCTGTATCATGCCTTTGAATTCAGAAACATAGATATTCAAAGGCAACTTTGGAGAACTATTTGAAAAAGACTTGCACTTCATATATTGTCCTCACAATCTATAGTTACAGATTATCTTTTTCATAAAAAGAGAAAATTCTTCATAATGTCATTTTCATTCTTTTCTACTTCAATCTGGAAGCAAACTAAAGCAAAACCAATTTTTCTCCTACTGCGAATTATATTCTCTCTAATAATAGCTCTGTATTTTGAAGAAACACAACAAAATGCTTTGCTTCTATTTCTAGATATTTTACCTAAAATATCATTGTTTGAAAATGCCTCCAGCTATGATAGAAATGCCAAAATGAATAGGCTAAGTGAAGTGGAAAAGGACACAATGAAAAGAGAATGTGCTAAAAGACAGAAGGAATAGGACGTAGGATCTAAGATTTTTTACTGACATTTTATTGTGTCACTTTTCCTTCTAAAGACTGAATATTCTACTTACATGAAAACTTAAAATATTTCTCCTAAACTTTCCATTGCTGAACAGGATTTACTGCTGCAAGTATTACTCTTAGTCTTCAGTTTAGAGCACGTAACAGATTAAAAGACCAGAAATCCTATATCCTAGCACAGACACTGGCACATTGAAATTCACTTCCAACATTTGCTTACTCTCCTGGATTTATAATAATTAGCCCTTTACCCATCTTAAGGAAGATTTGTTTCCTTATTAAATTCAATGTTCAAATAATACCGGCTTTCTAGTTTCCATAGCTTATATTCCAATTATTCTGTTGTTCCAGAAAGTTCATTGAGAAATTACTATATGCCAGGAACTGTGCAAGAATTTAGAGAAGATACAAAAATAAGCAAAATTCAGTCTTTACTATTAGCAGGCA